AATGCACCTCTGCTAGCGAGTGTGCAAACTGACACCCAGTAACTTGCTACTTCTGTCCTGAACAGCAAGATGCCAGTGTAAATTGGACCCCAAGGAGCGGAAGAACTGCGGCTACCCGGGAATCTCACCAATGGAGTGCAGGAAAGCTGGGTGCTGCTTCAACACTTCAGTCCTCGGTGTTCCCTGGTGCTTTGCTCCTAGAGCAAAGAAAGGTAATATCTCTGCCAGAAACACCGATTTACCTAGTGTTTGATCATGCAGAAATGTGTACAACTGGGGAGCAGCTCTGCTTTTCTTCTTAGGCCAACGAAGTGGGCACAAACCTCTATTAGAAGACCACTGGTAGCAAAATGCAAAGTCAAACCTTGCTTACCCATCAGTCTTTTGTCTCATCTCTTCACACTATAATACATTTCCTCTTCCTTCAGGCTTCTAGTTATGAAATAACCCATGCTCATTATTTTAAAACATTTCACTGCCATTTGTGGTCTTGTTCATCAGTAGAGCAAGGGATCCTCAGCACTTATTTAAGTTTCTATGTGGCTGAGGAGGACTTCAGCACTGCATGTCAAAGTCCTGAGTAGATGAGTCCCTCTGTAGTTTTTTGACACCTGTACAAAAGACCACAGGCATCCTGTAACTTCTGGGTTTTTTGCTCTTTTCTCCAGCCTGTTTTGATAATTGCTACTTCCCTCCTCTCCTGCCTCTTTCCCAGCATAATTCCTCTCGGTGTTTCTTTTTTTTTTTTTGTCATTTTTGCTCCCAGTCTTCATTCAATGAAATCTCCAAAATATCCCAGGAAAAATCCTCTTTTCTGTTAGATCCTTCCTTCTAAAGTCCTGTTTCTATTTTTTGCCTTTGTTTTCTCAGAGAGGGTAAGAGCTGCTCTCCCAGTCCTTCAAGGACCGGGTGTATTTTTTACATAACTGCTGAATGTAACCTACATTTGCCGGGCTGACCACGCGACTCCTTCTTAGGAGAACTTGAGGGCAATCTCAGCAGTTGCAGAGGTGAAATGAAAGGAAGTCAGGGTGCAAGGCAACATTACCCAATAAAAGAACTTGATATGAATCAAGATTGGTCAACAGGGCTCAGAATTGTCGGAGGAAAAAAAATATTTTTCTTTTGAACGTTGTTTGCATCTCATGAAAATCTTGAAAAATGAATGGCAGCACCTTACAGTGTCATTTTCATAGAATTGCTTTCCTGAGCAGAACTGTTTCAGGAGACGAAAACTGAATTATTCAGGCCGGGTGGTATAACCTCTTTACCTGTCATTCTACTTTAAATTGCCTGGATGAGCTGTGATTTCCTCCTAAATGACCTACCTCCTTTCCATAACTCAAGTTGGCACGCAGAGGAGGCTGGGTTTTCCTGTCCCCGCATTAGCCAGGCTGCTTTGGGGTTAGCTTTGGATCTGGTCATGAATATACCCTGGTCCGAGGCCAGTGTCTGTGGTACCATTACAGGAGACACGTGGGTTTTCACCCCATTGCTGGATCTAGGAAAAGTAAAGCTGGGTCACTGCCTACCGGACACTTCTAGGGGCAAATTTAGCCCCTTCTGGCCCCCTGGGCACAGCAGTAATTCCTCACCCCTTGGTATTTAGTTTTGCCTAACAGGCGTGGTAAGGATTTGGGTGAACCTGCTGCCTGAAATTGGTATGGAGAAGGTCATCATGGCTGTCACGTCTGCTCACTGACCTCACCTTCGTGGTCTGCCTTTTATTTGTGAATTATGCCGCCAGGAGCATAAAGTAACACGGCCTCCTTTCTTCCTTCGTTTTTGCTTTATGCAGTTGAGAAAGTATGTCCCAACGATCCTCACGCCAGGATAAACTGCGGCTTCCCCGGCATCACGGCTAAGCAGTGCGAAAGGAAGGGGTGCTGCTTCAGGGCACACCCCGCTGATGTCCCCTGGTGCTTCTACCACCGCATGGTGGAGGAGGGTAATGTCCTGCACAAGACAGTGTCCCCTGTGTCCCCGTGGACCCACCGCGGCTCCTGGCAGGGTCCGTGCTTCTCCCAGGCTTGGTGTGCTGTGCCAGCCCGGCGCGGCGGGAGGCCACGCTCGAGGGAGTGAGCAGGATGGGGTCTCGTCTCGCCCCCCTTCTCAGTGTGGGTGCAGACTTTCCTCACCCAGGGCATGAGAGGGGAAGAGGTGGCTAAACCCTAAAAAGACCGTCTTCTTGCACAGACGGGTGGGTGTTGCTGACGCATCTGAGCCAGGGACCTGTGGGCAGTGTGGCTGCACAGGTAGCCTGGGCTCAGGTGTGAGCTCAAGCCCGCAGCTAATGCGATGGTAGAGGTGCAACTACCGAACTCACATCTACTTTACCACAAGAGAGAAAAGGCTTTGTTTTAGAAATGTGGAATGAAACTTACAGAAATTTCTGATCCCCTGCTTCCATTTTTTAGTTAGGATTGACCTTTCAGCATATCTAACATATTGACCTTTCAGCATATCTAACGTAGATAACCAATAGCCTCAGCCAATTCCAACCCACCCCACAGTGTATTTTGTACTGGAAACAATTCACCCTAATTTGGTTTTACTGACCTGAATCATAGCTAGGAAACAACATGTACGGATCCGGGGGGGGTGGGGAAGCAATTGCTAAAAATTGCCTTTTTGATGTCCTGCATCTAGGCAAAACACTTCCTAGCATCTTGTGTAATTCGTGGAGAAAACATGTCCCTTAATCTGCTTCTCCTCTTTACCTCCCCAGATTGTTAAAGGAGAAACTTCCATCATGAACCTTGTGATCTTTGGACCTACTCCAACGGGAAACAACAGCTGGAGGTCCCAACTCAGACTTGATAATGTGTAACAGCTATGATTTCTAGGTCATTTTTACCTTGGATTGACTCCTTTCCAATAAAAAGTTACTTGCAGCTTTTATTCTGTCAGTAGGCTAGTACCGTGCATTTTTTCACTGTAATAAAAGCACTAAGACACAATTCGTGAGTTCTCTGTTATCTTTATTTGAAAGCTGTGTATTTCTCTGTTTCCCAGGCAATTTGGCATCTTAGCAACTCACCACTGACAGAGTAGTCACTAACACTTCTGAAAGGAACACGGCACTCAGCTTTTTGTGTTAGTTACACTTCACACTTGCAAGTGACTGCTTGCATTTGTTAGCTGATACATGGCTTCACACGGGCCACTCGCCCTTCTGAATGCTGAAAATATTCAGTGTTTCCCTTTATATAGCTACAGCTGTGGGTTTGGGCTTTCTTTTTGCCCCTCGAGACATAGAGAAGGGTACCTTTGTTAGCTGACCACCGAGCTGGTCTGACTCAGACACCTCCTGCTCTCTGCATCACCGTGTCTCTGGTGCTGCCAATCCCTTGGTGCCACGACCAGCGGGGCACGGAGTAGCTCAGGAAGGCAGGTACCCACCTGGTACCCTATCTAACCCAACATGGGCCTCAGCTGCTGATGCAACACACAGCTGAATCACTGGGCACTCTCACTGTTAACCAGCGTCCCCACAGGCGGGTCCTGTGGGTCATGCTCAGGAAAAGTCTCTGCAACGCTAAAGGCAAGAAACAGGTCCCCCTGGCCTTGACTTATACCTGAAATAGAGCCTGCTGTGTCTCACCAGACACAGGAGAATCTCCTGGTCCCCAGGCGAGTGTGACTGCTTTCTCCTTGGGTGTTTTAAATGCTCGGCAGCGCAGCTCAAATGCTTCCCTGCTTCAGTTGAATGAGAGCACAGTAAAAAGCCTCTAAGAGCACTGTTGGGAACAAAATCATAGAATTATAGAATGGTTTGGGTTGGAAGGGATGTTAAAGATCATCTAGTTCCACCCCCCCTGCCATGGGCAGGGACACCTTCCACTAGACCAGGCTGCTCAAAGTCCCTCCAACCTGCCACCTTTCAAGCCTGTCAAGGTCCCTCTGGATGGCATCCCTTCCCTCCAGCGTGTTGACTGCACCACACAGCTTGGTGTTGTTGGCAAACTTGCTGAGGGTGCACTCAATCCCACCATCCATGTCGCCGACAAAGATGTTAAAGAGCACCAGTCCCAATACTGACCCCTGAGAAATGCCACTCATCACTGGTAATGCGAGACTGCCATGCCTGCAAGCCATGCTCAGGGCTTAGCAGGAAAGAACAGTTGTGCGGGGTTGTGCTGCAAGGAGAGAGAAAATGCTGGAGACACGTGCCTCCTTAGGGATTTCTCCAAGTACACTTTTGTGATGAGTAAGTTTATCCAAGCGGGTAAAAATTAGTCATTCATAAAACTTCATTATCTTGCACTTACAATAGGCTCAATAATATGATTTGAATATGGTAGGATATTGGTTGTAATATGAGCAATAAACTGACAAGTCTACTGAAGGTCTTTGAAGGTCTTTGCTAAGGAAGGTTTGGTGCTGTGGCCCAGGTGGATTTGGAAGGCCTAAGCACAGTGTAATCACGATAATACTGCACTGCAAAATTGGGTGCAACAACTAGGTGCATTCACCAGGTAACGGGGCCTTCATGGGAGTCTCGTTGGCAGAAAGAATTAAAATGCAGCCACACTGAAAAGGGTAACCCTAATTAGTCCTGTGGGAAATAATCTGCAGGGACTGAAATTAGGCTGCCAGAGTCAGTGCTCTTCCAGGGCAGAGCTCTCACTGAGCCACGCATACTCACCAAAAGGCTTTTCCTTCTGCAGAGGCACGTGCCGACGTGCGCAACACAAGAGTGTAATGGGTCATGCGGGTATTCCCGAGGGAGAGGCTCAGATGGGTAACTGCTTGCTACACTTGTCTCACCCTCCCTTGTCTCACCCTCCAGATCTCTCCCCTGGGGCTGTGCCAGTGAGGCAGGCGCAGGTCAGTGGTCCTGCTGAGCTTCCCCTGCCACAGTGTACTGGGGCTGTATTTGGCTTTGAAAGAAAAATGATGAAGAGAAATGTCTTAGCAAAGGGGGTGGTGGGTACTGTGGCGTCCTGTGCTGCAAAACCTGATTGGGAAACTCAGCCTGGCAAGGCACAGCAGCTGAAACTCCTGGGAACTGCTTGAGCCCCTCTGTTGAAATGGTCTGCATGTTGGCATGGAGAAAAACAGCTGTGATGGTGCAGGAAAGCCACGCTGACAGCGGTCTAACCCCAAAAGGATGAAGCATGAAGGGCTGAACTTGCTCACTTGCTGTCCCTGGGCATGGTGTCCACTGCAAAAACCATTAACTGCTGTGTGCTGACCAGCAAACCATTCCCAACAGCATGCTAAGCCAAGGCACTGGGTCATGCAGTTTTCTGGACGTTTGAGGTTATAAATCAGAGTTAGTTGCTCATAGCACAAAGAATTATGACCTAAGGATCTGTCATCATCAGTAAGTCCTACGGGACGATGGTTATTCTGGGAATTTACATTAAGTAGATGCTTGAGGTCTCTCTATGTAGACTGTTATCCACACCCACCCAAATGCACTTGAAAAAACTGCCTAGAATTCTTAAAATTAACATTTCTGGTGAGAAAACAAGCTGGCAAAAACAGAATAAAAGCCACAGCTGCTGAGGATTTGAAGATGGCAGGCAAAGCCAAGGTAGAGCAAAGTGAGATCCCAAAACAGGAATGCACACCAAAGAGGAGTGTGCGGGACTTGCAGGTATGTGGCTACAGAAGGAGGGACCTTCCTCTCCTCACCCTCAGGGTCACGCTGCGGGCTCCCCACACCCGAGTCTGTCACCACGGGCCCCGTTCACAGCCCTCAGAGAGAAAAAGACACCTCTGGGCTGGAAATCATCTGGCTAGTTCAGATGTCCCCAGTAGGGCAAACTGAACTGCCTCCTTCCTGCCCAGCGCCAAGGGGTGTCTAGACTAGCAGCTATATGTATCTGCTCTCCTTCCTTGGGTTTTCCCATCAGTGCCTTTTGAAGCTGGAGAGGGCCACTGAAGGGACAGGAGAGAGGGAGAGATGGGGAACACCGCTGCCCTGGCACAGATGTCTGACTTGATGCTAGCTTTCCTAGCCGACCTGGTGGCAGAGGCCCAAGAAAGACAAATCACTGCACAGGAACAGAGAGGTCCTGGCTGCTGGCAATCGATTGCCTTTTGGAGCTCACAGTCTGACCAGCAGATAGACACAAGTAGATATGCACAGTTCATTCATTTATTTTGCGTCAATAGATCGACAAGCTTCCCTAGCTAACGCGATTGAAATAGCTTCACATTATTGGATTGTGTAAAGTCTGTCCTTTTCTGTCCCTTCTTCATCTTCTGTTTTTGTTCTTTTTGCTTGTATGTAGCTCTATCCAGCCCTAGCAAGCAAAATTAAAACAGAAACTTTAAAGCTGTTTTTGGTGTTTCACGCTGGTTACTTTACCCAATTAATCTGTATAATGGAAAGAAATCCGAGTGCACCCACAACGCCTTGAAACTGACGGGTGGCCACACTGGGTCATTTCAGATGTTCATCTAGCCCTCTGTCCGTCACTGACCAAAAGGGTTGTCTAGGGAGAGGTGCAGGATAAACATATAATGAGGCTTCTCTTCTAACAAAATGCAGGACTGTCACAAATGTGAATCAGTTTTAACAAGCAAATATGAGAAGCCCAAATGAAGACTTACCCTTTGTATCTCTGCAACTCTGCTCGCACACCCACATAGCCATACAGAGAGTGCCGAATAAGTAAACAAAGTTCTGAATATTTTACTGGGGAAAAAAAAGTAGGTCAGCTACATGATTTTCGCCAGCAAAGGTGTTACCATAACAGGAATCAATTCTCTGTGACACAAAGCATTTGTGCTGATGAAGCTATTACGCAGATAGTGAATGACGTTTAAAATCACGAATGCCTGGTAGTCCTAAACTGTCTGTAATCATGACAGCTGTGTGCAACCAATGCTTCACCTTCTAATAAAGGCTGAATAGAAAATGTTTGACGTTGCAGATTGATTGCCTGTGTGGTTCTTCAATGAGTGAGGATATTCTACTGGTTTTTAAAGCAATTGTAGCCAAGGAAAAGGTCTTAGAAATAATTCATTTTGAAGCAATGCAGGAAAGCTGTATTTGGCTGACGTGAAGAATTAACGGGAGAAAACTAGGACAGACAAGGAGCTCAGAGCAGATGGGTGCTAGCAACAAAGAACAAACCTGTAGCAATGTGAAAAAACCTGTAGCAATGTGAAAAAGGGGTATAACTGAAAACACCTCCAAAAATGTGTATTTTAATGTGCCCACTTCAGATCCCATTCCCAAATGTCTCTGAAAAGGGTATGCTTCCTGCTACAGCTAGTATCACACACCTCCTCTGGCAAAGCTCCCGTTCAAAAGGAAGGTTTCAGACAAGGTGCTAAACCAAAGTGAAAAAGAATACAGAAACTGAAATATTCCTCTGTTGAGAGCAGCTAAATCGCACGGCTCTGCCACAAGTCTCTAATGAGCTACCGGTTTTACTAAAGCTTGAAAACTTGACCATGATGCCATTAAACAGCTTGGAAAGCAGAAGGTAAAACACAAGAATCAAATCTGATTCCCTGTGTTAAAACCAGGCAGAATGACGAGATTCTGCCTGTTAAAACCAGGCAGAATCAAGACCCAGATTCAATTTCCAGGAGGTTGTGCTCGCTGTGAGGCTGAGTCCAAAAAGGGGGACTTGCTGCTCTGAGGTGTGGGTTGCAAAATCTTCCTTATGAGCGAAGTTCAGGTGAGAGTTTCAGAAGCAAGCAGCTCTCTGCCAGAAACAAAAGTCTTCTTTGGGCAGAACAGTCCATTATTATTCTGTAGACTTCCTTTT